AATAAAAATATATATACAAAGAATATACAAATTTTAGTTTTCATATTCTGGTAATTTATCTAATTAAATGTTAATTGATGTAGGACTAATCATTTATGAAAGTTGCACATATACTGTCATCAAATCTGCGCTTTCTTCACCAATGAGATAATATATTATGAATGTTCTGAAGTAATTGTAAACTTTCAAGCATGGTCGGGCACTCTAGATGGTTTATCCAAAGCCTCCTTCGTTTTTTCTCTGTCCCATCGTACTAAACCTTATTTTTCCTTTAATTATTTATCAAATTCTTCCATTCTTTATATTTGGTCATTTTTTGTTACTTGTAACAATTTGAAATGATTAGTTATTTTAAATAAACAAATTTAAAGATACTTTAGACAAAGAAATTTTGAAAATTCGGCATATACGCCCTGTCAGAATAATTTCTGATAATTTAATTATTATAATAATCATATCTACCAGATATGAAAGATCACATTATTTTACATTGATGAAACAATTTTAATCAAAATTGTTGTAGCCATTTTGAGAAAATTTAATGTTGAAGATGAAAAATGTGTAAATTTGATGATAGGAAGAGCCATTTCTGTTTAGCCGATTTTTATAGAAAAAGTGGCTGTAAAAAATATTGAACACTTGTTCCAACATTCATTTCAATGAACAAGAGCCAAGAATAAAAAATTATAATTTAAAAATAATATTTTTATCTTAATTTTTAATTTAATTTACCCTTATATACAGTATACAGTTAGGGAAAGTATTTGGACTGTGAAAAATCTTGCACTGGAGTTCCCAATGGAATTATCTAAAGCTAATGACTTTTAATGGTAGTAGTTAATAATGTATACTTCTAAATTGTTGAAAGGGTCATAAATATTTCCATAAACACCAAATGGAATTTCTAAATCAATAAATGGAAAAATATATATATATTTTTCTCAACTTGGTAAACCAAAAATTTATAGTGCACAGAATTATCACAATTTTCGTTAATTTTCTTAAAGAGGAAGGAGATGGTCCGGGGTGGTGGTCATAAAGAGTCTAAAATAGTGGAAAAACTATTTCATTTAAAGCCTAACGTTATCTTTCCACTATTTTAGACTCTTTATAATGCCACCCTGGCCATCTCCTTCCTCTAAAATATACAACTATCAACCATTAAGTTTTCAATAACTTTCTTAAATTTGTATTTACAATTAATGTAGTATTCTTAAGGAATATTAACTGTAAAAAAATATTACTTCCGAAAAGGTCTGAAGTGAAATTTGTGGGATGCATCACACCAGGTTTTTTTACTCATGTTAATCTGCAAATACAGAAAACTACATACATCTTTTGTTTCACTATTTTGTTATTTTAGATCGAGGGATTTTAATGAACTTAAGTTACGTAAAAATAAAATAAAAAAAAAAAAATGTTGTAGGTATAAGCAAAGAAAAACAACATCAAAATTTTAAGTATGAAATAATTTCATATTTGTTTTCAGTATTTTAAAAATTTTTGGAATTTACAAATAAAATTCATTCTCTAATATATTTCGTTTTGGTTAAAGGTTTGTATATTAGCATGTTAATCCAAATATAAAGTTTTTATTAATTTATTTTTTAACCTGGTTTATTTAATTGTTTTCAATTTTATTGTTATTTTGTTGAGCAGTGTCCAATCCATTTTGTTTACATTCTGTTTTTGTAAATTTTCCATCAACTCAATTGCACTCATGTATTTATGTATATTTCATATTTATGTGTTTAGCACCCATATATATTTCATTAGAATATATTTACATACATTAGTATAGTTAACCAAGATTTATGGGGGCAGATGCCTGTATTGCTTGGTGAATGGCATATACTGTTGGAAAAAATGGTTTCAATAGCCATTTTGGACTGAAGACGTTTTTGATGCAAGCATTATCATTTTGCCCTTCTCTGGAGATTTGGATGTGCAAAAATTCATTACCCACATATGGTTGAAACATACTAAAAACATTTTAAGAGATAAGTTTAATCTTTTTGTTGACTTTCATCAGGGTTTTGACTCCATATGTCACAAATTCTTTTCTATAGGTTTGAACAGAGAAATAATTCAGATTCTGGAAGATGTACATAGTAATTCGTATACACAAATTAAAAGAACTGCAGGAGAACTGTCGCAAGTTATAAATTATTGAAGGTGTGCTACAACGAGAGACACTGAGTCCCATGCTGTTTGACCTCTTCTTATCGGATATCGAGGCATATTTTCGCAAGCGTAACTTCTCAGGTAACATATATCTATTGATGGTTGTGTTGACATATTGTTTCTCTTGTTTGTAGATGACATGTTTATTTTTGCCAATTCCTATACCGATCTAGTAAAAAAAGTTAATGCTCTAAATGAATATTGTAGGGATAATAGACTGATTATAAACATTAATAAAACAAAAATTTTGTATTGTGCAATGAGGTGCCCAAAGAAATATGATAGTATATATTTAGAAGGAGACCTGATTAATACACTCGTCACATTCAATTATTTAGGTGTTCATTTGTGTAGGTCTGGTTTGTTTTTGCAAGCAGTTAAGACAGAAATTTCAAATTAAAACTCAACAATAGCCACTGTGATAAAAATTTGTTCAAAAGCCAAAATGAACTCCTGGTAGGCGAGAGAAAAGTTGTAAAAATCTATCATTAATACTTCTTTGCTATATTGTACCCAGATATAGAGTCTCTGATATATAGAGCTCTTAGAATAGGTCAATATAAATTTTTATAAAAAACATTTTCGCTTTGTAAATCCATCCCAGACTTTTTAATACACTTAGAAACAGGGTATATTCATATTTGTTTCAATATCATGAAATATTTTTTGAATTGATTAGGCTTGTGGAAATGGAGGAATTTAGATACCCTAAAATGTTTCGAAAAACTAAAAAACAAAAGTTATTAATCTAATCCTGTTTTATCGAAATATAATTGGTGTGCTCAGCTGAATGTATTGTTAGATACTGTAGGAGAAGGCAATCCAGTTTAAGAAACCAACTCAGCCATAATTAGAGCAAATATCAATAGAATATAAGTATAAACAACATTTGCAGGAGGGTGATAAGAAAACATTGCATAGCTCAGCTTATAGTGCACATTTGAAACTTTTTTTTAACAATGGTCAGATCACCCAGTATTTGTTGACACCCAATAATTTCAAATATCCCAGATTATTAATGCAGATCCCACTCTCTCAATTTCTCGTTCTACACTTCTACAAATTTCTCGGAAAAATAAATGATCAAGGTTTCAGTTAACAATAAAATTATAAAATTCAATCCACAACTTGAGAGCAAAATTTGTAATACTATGGAAAAAGAGACATTTTATCATGTATTACATAAATGTCCAACATACAATAGTTCAAGAGTAAGAATTTACCAGGGTATGGAAAATCTTAATAGGATGGAAATATTTGAGCCAACCACCACAGAAGATATGAAAAAATTATATTTTTTCATCTCTAATATATCAACTTCTAAAGCATTGGTAGGGTAATCTGGAATATTGTGTTTTGAATATTATTGTAAAATGTAGTCTGTTCAGTTCTTATTTCTTGTGTTTTATTTTTTCGTATGAGTAATCTTTTTATTTAATTTGAAAACAGTTTAATATTACTATTTAAAAAATATATTGATTTTATTGTTATTGTGTATGTGTTTGGTTGAGAGTTTCAGATTTTATATAATTGTTAATAATTGGCATTATTTTACCTTCTGATTTTTTTTCAAATATGGTTTTTAAGTTATCCTTTTAGTAAGATTGCTGTAATATTTGTAGTGTAAATAATGAAGTATAAAAGTAAAAAAAAAATGTAATACCATAAGATTAATAACGTTTGTTATACAAAGACTTTTTTAACTGTAGCATGTAAAGTTTTAGAAAATCTTCCGACTGATAGGCTTAAGATTAATTCTGAATGGATCCTTCCAGATTATCAATGAGGATTTAGACCCAACAGAGGCACATCAGATCAGATCTTTTTAAGGCAAGTTTTATGAGCTAAATAATGATGTTCATCTCATCATATCATCTCTTTATTGACTTTAAGCAAATCTTTGATCAGTTTAAGACAATCTAGCTATTTAATATCTTGAAAGTTTTTAATGAATCTCTAAAATTAAGTAAATTGACATAAATAACAACGATCTAATCTCAGGCCAGTATTTTTATAGTAAGTGCTAAGCTGAAAAATACAGTTTACTGATGTGGTAAGACAAAAAGATGACCTCCCATAAATATTAATAACAGACATAAATTTCCATATTGTCAGGTTGTTTTTTAAAATTTATTTTTTGTTTTAATCAAAACAATTGCTGTACATTCCAAACATGTAAACATGGTCATTTTAATAAGATTCAAACTTAGAAATAAAAGGTAAAACATATGTTGGAATAGTACCTTGTTGACATGAAATTAATGATACCTTGTTGACATGAAATTAATCTAGATTGTTTAGGGTCTATGATTTGAACAATTGTTGAATTCAATGTTTACTAGTAAAAAGTATAATAGCAATCACTCATCAATATTATTTAATGCTCATAAAACGAGAGTGTAAAAATGGATAAATAGGAACTATGAAAGAATTTGGTAATTAACTAAAGGAGAAAATGAGAGACATATTTTTGCAGGTTGAAAACAAACTTCCAGAAGTAAGAGTAATAATATTTATGTATGATTTATTGTTGGGAAGCTAAAGATTTTGAAAAATGAATGTCTGATATATAAGGTTTTAGAAGGTAATAGAGACTGAAGAAAAGCTAATGACTTTTAATTGTCCTAGTTAATAGTTTCTACTCATTATATTATTAATAGTTAATTAGAACATTGTTCTACTGAAAATAGGATGGTAAGTGAATGTCGTGTGATGCATTACACTAAATTTTTATTTAACTGTAATGCAACCGAAGTCTGAATAGATAGTTTTAATAGGAAATTGTAGGGTAAGATAAAAAAAAAAAAATCAAGATATCAGGAGAAACTAAGGATATTTATTGACTCTCTGTTTGAACAGTTAATGTTATAAGAGTTAAGATGTTGAAATGTCAATTTTCCCCAACTGAGGTACCTTTTTGTTGGGTCCTTATAGATCTCATGGGTCTCACTATAATATTTGTGCCTCGAGTCCTAGAAAACAAAGAAATATCCTTACAATGTGATAGATTTTATAAATTATCTTCTTCATAGAACAACAATTAAGTGCTTATGTGTTAGCATTTTTTTTTAAATTCAAATAAAGAGAAATTAGTGCTTACCAGCTATTGTTTTGAGTTGGGAGCACAATTGAATTCTGTTACAGCAGGATCTTCTGAAATCCATGGCTGTGAGATGATGACTGCCTTACACGAGTAGCTTGTTTTCAAGTTCTCATTGCTAGCATCAAAATCGAAAGTATACTTGATACCTGCAACTACCTAAAAAACACATATTCCTTTAAATCGAAATAGGCAATTTGGTTTTTTAATGATTGAGACGTCTTTATATTGATAGATAAATAGACAGATCAATAAATATTTTTTCAGTTATTATATAGTTTCTTACTTGAGAAGTAGCTTTTTTGATCCTAAGTAAAGATAGCTGTTTACTGGGATTGGATCTTGCATTCAAATTACTTAGGGCTCTTTTCAAACACTGTTGGGCAGTGACATCACCAGGATTTGTTTCAACTGGGCAGCCAGCACAGAACTACATAAATATAATAATGTTAGAATTTTCATTATAAATTAACTTATATTGTATATATCTGAGTGTACATATACAAAATTACCTCAGGCTGTGGCCTGCAATGGACTTCATCCACTTCTTTCTTATTCAGCCATGGTCTGTACCACACTTGAACATCACATATGTGGCGATCCTAAAGGAAGTAGATTAAAATTATGTTATGACATTGTATAATAATGCATGAGCCATTTTATATATAGTTATAAGCAAGCAACTATATAACAAGGTTATAAGCAAGTTATATTTAAAATTATTTACCTCTTGTTGGATTTGGCATTCATCGGAATCTGATTGGCTATTTTCAAGACAGTTGGTTTTTGCAACTTCTATAGTAGCTCTATATAAAGAACCTTCAACAATCTACAAATAAATGAAGAGAAATTTAACAGTTATGCAAAATAAAAAAACAATGACATATATATATATATATATATATATATATATATATATATATATATATATATATATATATATATATATATATAATCAAATACTGGAAATAGATATACCTGCTCACTAGCTTTGAAAAATCTAACAACTTTCATCAAATATTTAGAATTTAATTTTTTTCCAACTTCAGTACCAATAAATGACTTAAGCTCTTGTAGGTCAGAGTTGCTTTCAGCATCAATCACAAATTCTGAACCAGGAAGTGATCTAAAATCAGTAACTATGTTAAGACTGGTGCTTATTCCTAGCTATTCTAAGGTTAAATAATTATTTATTTTTTCAATGATTCAAAATTAAGGCAAACCTTTTTTGTTTGTTTGAAGAAACAAATTTGCAATTGTATTCCTCAACTTCTTCCACTCCCATCCATTCTTTTAGCAAAACAACTAATTTACACTCATAAAGTGAGTTAGATTTCAAACCTTTAGCTTCAAATCCATAAGTGTAAATCATGCCTTCAACAACCTTTTAACAAAAAAAAATCACTAGTTATTCATTTAAATTAATGATTATAATAAAAAAACACTTTTCATTATTAAGAAATTTATACTATTATTAAAAACATTTAAAATTTCAAGTATATATTCAGGGAATTCCACTCTTCAACTATATATCAATTTTTAAGGATTGGACAAAGTAATAATGGATCTTCTGAAAGAATGGAGCCAGGACAATGGACTTGGAATTAACATGCAGAAAGTAAACTTTTATGTCTGCATCGTGGCTTCCTAAAGGTTGCATGGCACAAGTTTCACTATCAAAAATTTTTAGGGCAAATTTTTTCAGGATTATTAATTTTTGGATAGAACCATATTTTTGTTAGGTTTCAATTGAAGAGAATTTTTGAACAAAGGAAAAACCAAACTATAATTTTTATAAATTTACTTTTATTTGCACTGTCTTTAAGAAGAGGAGAGTAATAAATATTTTTGGGTGAGGCGTTATATTTTATTTATCCTTGCAGGTGAAGGAGTGATAGGCACTCCGGTCTTTACTAACAGAAGGAATATAAAAATCAAATTGCCGTGTTTGGATGGTTTTCTGACAAACCATGTAGAGGAGTTTAGTGTCATTAGCATCAATCCCAATAGCAAGTTGAAATGACTAAGCCATATTGAAATGATCAGCACGAAAATGCTTCACTGCCTTTGAGCTTTTAAGACCTGTGGGTAAATCCTGGGGTTTAAGACCCAGAATAGATGTGTGACTACCTACAGCATAAATTAGACCTTTAATCTTATAAGCTGCCATAATATGATGGCATAAGGCTATTGCAAGCAAACTCAAGAGCCCTGCTCGAAAAATTAAAATGGCTCATTTGCATAATGATGCAGCTCCTACAGCTGGAATTTATATAGAACAAGAATTGCATATAGAACAAGAAATTAAGCTCCTTTTTTTTTTCTTTTCTTTTTTTAATGGAACTTGAAATAACCATTGGTTGGTTGGTGTGAATGAATGCAAAGGCAACTTAAAAATTCTCTTCAGGACCATTTAAGGTAAAGTTTACCCACTCAACTCACTTATAAGGCCGTCTATCACATAATAAGTAGATGTGATGTTTTAACTAGAGTGCAGTACTTCCATTTTAGTGGTGACTGCATTATTAATCTCAAACTTTTAGAAATGATTGATTCCATACACAAATTTACAAACGATATAGGCCTGTTTTAACAGAACAAAGGATAGTGGTACAATAGGGCTCTATGAGACCACAGAACATTATTGCCGGAAACTGTTAAAAATAAATTCATTACATTTTATACAAAAAATATAATCTAGGAGTGTGAATCAGAAGATGGTATATTTGGTACCCTACATCTGAGTATTTTAAAACTTTATATTATATATATGAAATATTAAACTTAGTTTAAAACCATTTTGTTTCACACACACACACATATATATTTATATATTTGTAATTATTTCACTTAAATTATGTGTGATATTTAGTCTGAAGGAATATTTTGTATTAGATTTCTCCTATAAAAATAATTATAACTATTGGTTCTTTTAAATTCTCAGGTTGTGTTTTAAACTATTAAGAGACAAATATTGTTACAGTAAGTTTAATTAGGTAAAAAAGTCAGATTTGAATCATTCATATGATTGAAAAATATTATTAATAAAGATTGCTCAAATTAAAAATAATTCATTAACTAGGTTTAGTAAGGAAATAATGAATTATTATCTTTATGAAAAACTTAATGAGTAAAAATATTAGTTGGTTCATTAATTACAGATAATTATGCTTTAAGTAATATTAAACCAAACTAACATGTGTAGTAAGTATTTCGTAATTTAAAATACTTGCTTCCTTTTCATAAATTGGTCAAAATATGAAGAAAAGACACAGAGAAGACAACTCCTGTGCAACTTTTTAATCCTCCACTACAAAAATCAGAGGAAAAGTAATGAAGAAAAGAAATTCATATATGCACATAACTCAAAACGTAGACTATTTGTGGTTAATAATATCCATGATTAACTAGAAAGTTTTTTGGGGGGGGCTGGTTGTCGGGCTCAAGTCCCCTCTCCCTCATAGTATGCCTGAGTTAATATTTAAGAGAATTAGGAAATTAGGACAGTATCTCCTTAAATATTTTAAATATCTTGCTGCTTCGGACTTAGCGCTGTTAACTAGTAGTGGCATAAGTCTAGCATCAAAATTTGAAACCAAGCAGTGCCAATGCGAAATAATGGCATTAATTCAAAAGTTTAAGTTAACAAGCCTAGGATACAATGGGGCTGCAGGACAATGTAGGAACTTTTAAGGAGCGTTTAGACATTCCGCAAACTATGGGACGAACAAATGTGTAAACGGATATTTCACTATTGTTTTGTTTCTTGTTTTTGGATATTTTCCTTCTACTGTCGGTATCAAGAGAAATAAAATAAATAATTGGTTTAGGAATAATGTCGCTTTTAAGTTGGATAGTTGTGTTTCCTATAGTTTGCGAAATGTCTAACCGCACCTTTAAAATTCAAATGGTGAAACTTTGAAGTGCCGCGCGAGAAAGTGTAGAAGGCCGAGGACTGCTAATCCCTGTTTTAGATCAATATTTTTCAAAATTACAATAGCGAAAACAATTAAAATCGATAATTCAGGAAATTGTATTTAAAATTAAACTAATAATTATGTAATTGCAATTTATTTTTATAGATGAGGGTTGGGCGGGAATTAAGGAAAGACAAAGGGACGCTTGCCGGGATGGAATAATTTTAACTAAAAAATAATTCTACTTTTTGCTGTTTTGATCTTAATTCAGTTAATGCCACGAATATATTATCTGATACTAGTATTACTTCGAAATGTTCATTACCTAAAATACCTACATAAACTGTTTAATTTTATTGGGAGGCGGTAGCAGTTCAAAGACGGAGGGCTAAAATTAAGCTTGTAAATTGCTGTATAAAAGTTCATTTAACCATAAAAAAACTTTACGAATAAAATCATTAAAGATAGATAAGCGAAAAATTTAAAACGTGGAAATACTTTTGAGATGTATAATACGATTTTAATTATCTAAACAAAAAATCTTTAAAAAATATTATTTATAAAATTAAATTATGATTAAACAATTTTAGTAGAAGTTTTACAAGAATATATTGATAAGTTTTAGTTTGTATATATGGATATGTTCAATTACGAAACATTAGTTTAATTATATATTGTTATATTACCATGCTCCATTAATCCAAAAAATAATACCTGTTTTTTCAATTCCTTGATTCGTACAAGAACGGCTTGTTCCTCATTTTCCATACCTTTTGGAGCAACATTTTGAAGTTTGTTGCTAATATATTGAAAGGCAGCAGGGTCATTTACTTCACCATTAGTGGAACAACCTAAGCAAGCCTGTTTCAAATTCAAATATTAATTATATTTTTAGAATGTTTTATACTAATATCTTTTTTTGCTTTAATTTATGCATATTTAAAAAAAGTTATAATTTAATAATTGTATTTAACGTCTTACCTTTGCCAAAGAGGAATGGAAAAGACCGAGTAAGAAGAAAACCATGAGATGCATGGGGCCCATTTTTAAGACTTTGTTTGATTGATTACTTGGTACCTCACAGTAATCAAATTCTAGAAGCCCTAATGACTTGAGAGACAAATTTTCTAGAACCATCCCGGCCTTATATACCAAAAATTCAAGTGGATCCTAGAGATAAGTATTTCCCGCCATCCCGCTATCAGCTGATTGACCTTTCCAGAGAGCTCTATGGCAGTCAGCTGAATTTCTGTTTTATTGTGTTTTTAATGATTTTAACTTAACTTTTATGGTTTTGAGATCGATAGTCCTGAGGGCACTAGCAATGTCAGCTCCAGAGTGCACGCCAGCTCAAAATTGCATCTTTTGTACGATTGTTAATGAAAATGATCAGAGTAAAATAATCTATCAGGTACTATGAAAGTATTTAATACTAATGTATTTATTTTATTTACTTTTTTAATTTGTAAAAATTGTTGATGTTAATTAAATATATATTTTTTTGCAATTTATTTCTGTAGCTGGTCTTAAATTAACTTATCTGGTTTTGAATATTAGATCTTGAATTTATGCATTAGGTTCGAAAGTATATGAAATGTCTTAATTTAAATCTTAAATCATATCTACTGATGTTTAACCTGGTATATGTCCTTTTAGTCAATTTCCTATAGTCTTTGACAGATAAGGACTGATTTGGGGTTGGAAATTTTTAAGATCATGTTATGGGGAACTTTAGGAATTATTATGTTATTTAGGGAGTAAAATTATTCAAAAATTAAAAAACGTTTTTGTTTCCAACTTCAAGCAAAAAAAATTGCTTCATTGGGAACTAACTTCTTGTTTCTTAGAGAAGCCTATTTTTTCTCCTGTCTCAGCCTTTTGGACAATATGGGTGTTTGCTGGAGTGAAATGTTATGCATCACTGCACACTCTAGCAAATTTAACAGATTAAAACATGCTCGTCGTCTCTCCGCAAAACAATGGTTCATGCTGGTGAGTGACTTCTGGAATCTGGCAGTCTTTCCAGCATTGGCTGTCCAGTACTGTTGAAGTGGACTGGGCTCACAACTGCCTACTAGCCATAAATAAGGATTTGGAACCCCCATTGCAAAGTCCTATCGCTCCATTTTGTCATCTTAAAAATGACTCCTTGAGCCCTTAGTTCCACTGGTTTCTATCACCAGCCTTCTCTTTATTATTTATTTGGGGAAAAGTTTCTGTATCATTGAAGTCTTTATTTGGGTTATGGTGGTCTCTTATCAATTAATTCTGCCTTATGCTATGAGATAATTTTAAGCATTTATTTTCTTATTAGGTAAAAATTAATCAGAATGTTTTACTGCATAATTATGTTTGATTAATTGTATTGTAAGAATTATATATGACTTTTAGGATGATGATGTAGTTGCATTTCCTGATATAAAACCTGCTGCTGAACATCATTATTTAATAATACCTCGCACTCATCTACCAAATGCTAAGGATCTAGATTCTTCCCATAAAAGTCTAGGTTGGTTAGTTTTAAATTTGTCTTCAGAACTATGCTTTTATTATTATTTTATTAATTAATGATAATGATTAATGAAGAAATTAAATATAGTTAGCACTTTATTTTTTCAGTTGAGCACATGATAAAAGTTGGAAATGATATCTTAACGGAAAAAAATGCTGATCTATCAAACTCAAGGTAATTTTAATCATTAATATTTAATCAAATTCTCTTTATATTTTTTTTTTAATTTTCGTCAATATTGTGACATATAAATTTATTGAAAAATAATTTTTTTAAAATTCTGTCTCAAGAATTTTAATTCCACAACTAATACTTTATTATGGCATCAAACATTCTTTAAATTAGGATGAATGTCTTATCCATTATGGATAATGAATAAAAATCTTGCAATTGGTAATTACAAAATTAGATTGCATTATGGATTTTAATAAAAGTATAATAGGCAAACTGATACTGATGGCAAACTTATGCAGCATTTATTTGAAACTAAGAGCTGTCTCCTGATTTCTTTAAAAGTAGGTTAGGTAGCAAAAAGAACCTTATATGAAATAAAAAAAATGAATTCATGCATTCCATTTATTTATTACTTCTTGTTTTCACACAATTTTTTCTTGCCCAATTTTCACATTTATGACTCAGCAATTTGTCCAGTCAATGAAACGCGTGGAGAGAAAAGAGAATTGTTTCTGATTTTTTATCATTGATTTATTTCTTGTGTTCTGTTATTCACTTAATTTGGGTGTACAGTTATTACTGGCCAAACTTTATAAATCAATAACTACATTTGAAAAAGTTACAAAAAAAATTCTTTCAATAAATATTCAAAATGAAAAAAAGAATTATTCTGGTGCATCACACAACTTTTACTTACCACTCTAGCTCTAATTCTTGCTCATTTCAAAACAGCAATTTTTTTTTTATTCACTATACACTTCGTCTTACTGTTTATTTTCATTACATAGATACTTCAAAATTTAAAATAAACTAATTAATTAACATTTAAAATCAATATGATGAGATAGTTGTTTATTAATAATTTATGACTTAGTTTATCCATTTTCTTTCACCTTGTGGAATCAGATTTATTGTTGCCTATATATGAAATTTCTAGAGTTTTCATGTGACCAATGAGTAAAAGTTTAGATAAACTTATTATATTTCCAAAGGGCTTTTTCTTTTTCTTTTGGTAATTTAACTTGAGTATATTAAACTTGTTAATAAATTTCAAATGAAATAACATAGTTATTTTATAGAAAAAATTCCTCCCAAATGTTACACATTTATACAGCATAAATGTTTCAAAAATGCTTAACAATTACTATATTTTTTCTCAGTTGTAATGCTCTTTTCTGGACTTGTTCTGTAGTGTTTTAAAAATATTTTAGAAAATAAAATAATTGTTCTTGACTATAAAAAAAATAGAAATCATTCTTATTTTTGAAGTTATTGATCTATTCAAAATAATTGCAGCTTAAATGAAGGTAGGATCCTTAATTATATATGTCAAAGGTAAACCATCATAACATTTTCTAAGTTAAAGGAGAAATAAAAGGAGTTTCTCTATTTTTTTTTTTTTTTTTGTGAATGATGGTCATCTTTATGTTTGAAATGCCACATATTTTATCACTCTTTAAATTGAATCTAGAATAGTATACTTCTGATTCAGATCTGTGAGTGATTGTATAAAATAAAATCATAAAAAGCTTTTTAAACAAAGTGATGAATAAATGTGAATACAAAATGATTTAAAATTATTCTTTTAACTATATATTTTTTCTTCACAAAGGTGTTTTAAGGGGAAGAAAAATATAAATAGGTTATCTTTGGATCTTTTAATATTAAATTAAAATATCATAAAGTAGAGGACTATAACAGTAATATAGAGTAAAACTGAATTTTTTTTTTACAAACTCAGTATATTTAAGAGTGTTATTTTTGTTTTGATTATACAGAATTTTTTCATTCTCTCTTATTTCTAAGACTTGTGGAGGAGTAGGAGGGAATGCCTGCAACGATGATAAAACATAAAACTTATTTATGTTTACTTATTATTCTTCTCTTCATAAAACTTATTTCTTATGCAAATATTATTATTATAAACATATTTTATTCCATTAAAAGATTTTGAGGTTATGTTTGAATACAAACATTGTTTAACTGATTATCTGAGTAGGTCAATTTTATCATTACTCTATTTCTATGTTCTGGATTTATCTCAGAATGTTTAGAAGTAATCAAAGTACTTATAATTTTATATTTGAAATAGGCTTTGACATGATTTCAATCAATAAAAATATTAAAAACTATTTTAAGAAAATGTTCTGGAATCTCGAGAACTTTAATTTGACGTTACCTAACTAACCTTTTTGATGATATTGCCTCTTTTATAACATAATATTATAAATAATTATTTTTCTTTTGTACAAGATTTTAATTAATTATTTGAGTGAAAGCCCATCCAAATAATTCACCTGAAAGATTTAAATGAAGTCTCCGAAAACAGATTAATAAACCTTACTTTTATATTTACAATTTTTTCACAATTTCTATTTTTGAAATTTTCTAAGGTTCAAATTAATATTGGTGAATTTTTTTAATTCCTCAGAAAACCTAAAACAATATTTTATGAGAAGAATCCTAATATACTTTTTAAAATGATCCATAAACATAAACCTGAACAAAACATAAAAAAAAAAATATGTATATAGGCATTGCTTATGATTCTCTGAGGTCAGCCATAATCTACTGAGATTCTTGAGTGTTGTTAAAACAAGCCTGAAGCTCTGACTTGAGTCTTAAAGGCTTGGGTAATGAACGTTCGGTTGTAGAGCCATTGGACCTCGAACCTTTAAGGTTTGAACTGAAGGCTCATAAGGTTTGTTCGAGCCATGATAAATTTATCTTATTATTGTACATTTTCTTATAAAAATGTATTTATTTTTTTCTGTTGGTAGTAACAATATGAATATATTTCCGAAATATAATGTTAATAAATAGAAAGAGGAAAAAACAATTAAGACTCGAGCCTTGGCCGGGTCGGGAAAGCCTCTGGCCTTTTTCAAAAACCAAAAAATTCCATGCTTGTAACTATTTTAAATACATAAAAGGTGTATTTTTCATTTAACTTTTATTATATTGTTCATTACCTGGTTGTTATTGTATAGTTTAGTTATACCATAAATTATATACAATTGTAAGCATATAATTTAAAATCTTTAATTTTTAATCTAAAACAAATTCTGTTGTAATAAATTGGTAACTGGATTGTTAAACAATTTGTTGTAGGTTAGGATTTCATTGGCCTCCATTCAATACCATTGCACATCTTCATTTACATGCTATTGCTCCTGTTGATAAAATGAGTTTCGTTTCCAAACTTATTTTCAGGCCAGACTCATATTGGTTTGTTTCAGTAAGTATTCACCTTTACACCTCTGGTTTCTGTTAATTAAAAATGTATTTTAATTTTATTTTTGAGTGGACAGATCCTTTCTTATCATTCTTTCAAGTGCTCTGTTATTGAAATAATTTAATTCTTATGGTACACATGTTTGCTCCTTTTTTTTTTAATTTTATTAATACTTAATTATATTAAAATCATAAATTTAAAGTAAATACTTAAAATTTGACTGATTAATTTTTTATTCACCTTGAGATATTTTTTCACCTTTGAAACTACTGTAATTTGTGCCAAATGCAATTCACTAAAAAATCTCTTCATTCTTAAAATATTAAATAAAATATTTTTTTTTCATATACAATAAATTTTATAATTGTAAATAAATATATATTTTGAGAATGGGATAGAGAGTAATTTTTTTATTGTGTTTGTGTGCGCACGGGCACTCGTGCGTCCGTGTGTGTAATAATTACTCCCTCCTTCATACTTAAAATTTGAGTCCTTATATTTCTAGGTACATAAAAAAAAAAGTATATGCTTTTGTGTCTTTTCTCCAAGAAAACTAGGTCTTTTTTTTTCAAGTTCAAGTCTAAGTCTCAATTCACACCAGGAATAACCTTGCCATTGTCTACTTTTTTCAAGGTTTCATACACAGATTTGCATTGTTTTTCTTTAAGATAGCTGTTTCTTTTTGTTTTTTTAATTTGACGCCAAGCCCACAAGTCTCACTGAAATGAGCCTTGGGAGTTGACATTACAATCCACTATTATATATATCTGCATTAATATCCACTGTGCATGATAGTTAATTGTAAATTTCATAGACCCATATTTTGGCCATTTGAGAAGATACAGAAAAAAGTCAGCCAAGTAAGGACAGGATAGCTTCCTCATCGTTTTCATTTGCTAAAAAATATCTGTATTAAAAGGTCTAAAAATTTTCTTATGAGAATAAAATCTCTGGAACATGCCCTTTTGGAAATTCAGTAATCCCTCAACATATACTGGCTTGATATACAAGAGTTTCGCTTATCAGCAAATACTAAAATGCGAAAAAGTTCAGCATTTCCAGATTGCATATTTGATAATTCGTAATTACAAAAAAAAATCCAGTGCATACTGAATATGTATCTCGCTACTGTTAGTGCAAATGATGTGTGTAAAAATTGAGTGTTTTACAGGAGAGCATAAAAATTAATTATTTCTTTATGATTTTATATTTTATTGCCCTCTGCTATTTTTTCATAGTAGTAGACTACTTATATCAATTGCAGACTACATAATGTCAAAAATAGAATAAAAATTGAGAACTTTTACATAAGACCTTTGCACTAACTGTAGTAATATACACTTAATATATATATTTTCACTCGTAAAGTGGTAAATTCATAGAGAAAATTCAACTTTTTGTTTGTTCGGAGTTAACGAGACCAATACTTTTCTTCAGTCAGAACAAAACTAATTAAGCTGGAATATAAAAACATGAGTGAAGTTGATACAATTTTGATATTTAAGGAGAAAATCAAGACCACAAGAAGTTGGTTGAACTTCAATGAAAATAAAATCAATCACAAATAAGACGTTTTTTTACAAACTCAAAGTATAAATTACTTTAAATTTATTGAAAATTACACGAAATCTAAGTAACGGCAGTAATTGTCATGCCAATAACATTTGGAATCGATCAAATAATACAGTATCAATTAATTTTTGTATATAAAAACTACAATTTTATAATTTAAGCCATAACCATAACCATATTGTAATAACCTAACCCCCACTCCATATGATCAATGCCTTCAACATTTCACAGCCATTATATTGTTAACTATTATTTATATTAATTTTAATTATTAAATGGAATTCAGTGAAATTAATACTAAGTAATTAATACTGTTCTTCAAATTCCCTCTAAGTTTGGGTCAAATCGAATGCGCCAATAACTATAGCATATCAAATAACACATTTCTTGATCTGAAAGCGGACGCGTTTTTTAAATTTTTTTTTTTAGTATTAGATAGAATTTAATAAAATTGATGACTATCTCATTTTATGTTTACCAATTCCTAAATTCCAATTCCCTCCAAATTTAAGCCAAATAGAACTTGCGGTTTTAGAGATATAGACGTATCAAGGAAAACACACTGCGCATATATAAGAGAAAGCAACTGACAGAATTCAATAAAATTGATCCTACATTATTTTTTCACAAATACATACCTTTTATCCAATTTTGAGCCAAATCGAACGAGCCGTTTCTGAAATATTGGCATATCTACAAAAATGCGTTTGCGCGTGTGTTAGCGGAAGTGCTCTGTAGAATTTAATAAAATTGACGTGGGACCATCTAGACACCAACCCGCACAATTTCTAAAAATTTCATTAAAATCGGATAAACTGTAGTAGGTGATGAATTGAAAATAATTTTATTATTCTGGGACTAGTGTCCCTTTAGAACAAGTCACAAATACAGAATATATATATACCGATATTTTGGTGTGTCCATGAAAAACTATTTAATATTTACAGGTTGATTCGGAGTACAATAAAGTTATAAATGATGAAAAGATATAAATACGTGTAAATATAAAATATACAAAGAAAGTAATTAAGTGAACGAAATATCGACGAATTACAAAAAAAATCAGAGTATCTGGGTGTAATTTGAGGTTTTTACAACTTAAGTTTTTAAGTGCATTTCGTGATCAATCGGATTGGGAATGAAGTAGGTGTTCGAAGAGGAGAGATTTGAAAGAGGATATCGATTTTGCTTGTCGAATATCTGAAGGTATAGAGTTCCAGAAGGAGACAACTTGTATTAAAAAGGATTTATCAAATGCAGCAGTTCGGTGAGGGGGAGGATAGAGGTCGGACGCACAGGATCTGGTGGGACGGGATTGAAAGGAGCGTTTGGATTGTAGGATCTGTAGAATATAGGCAGGTCGCCGTGTTGCAATGGCTCGGTATAGGAAGATAGCAAGAAAATATTGACGGCAGTAGGACGGATAGAGCCACTTCAACTTGGTGTAGAACTGGGTAATATGCGTATCCCTTGAGATCCCAAGATACAGCGGATTGAGCAATTCATTAAACGTTTAAGTTTGGCTTCGAGTTCTTCCGAGAGTTCACCATAGACCATGCAGCCATAGTCGAAGTTTGGGAAAACAAGAGAAGAGACCAGGAGTTGACGGGTTTTGAACGGAAGAAGATAACTTAGATGGTTAAACTGTTCCAGGGTAGATATAGTACGGTGGGAAATTTGGGAGATGTGCGGTTTCCAGGAGAGGCTTTGATCGAGGGTAACGCTTAGGTTTTTAACAGTGGTATATATGATATGCCTGTTACATCGATTTGATTATAGACAGACACCGAACCAAATTTGATCCTTGATGTCTGCAACGTAAACCGCGAGTGTAAATTTTCGATTCTGAGCACAAATTTTTTTTTTTATCTCGCACGAATACAGTGCTTCCCTACCTTCGGTAGTGAGGAAGCAAAAATAAATATATTTTAAATCATCATATGAACACTTTACAATACAAATACACATTGTCCTGCAGCCTTGCGGGCTGAAGACCATATTTTACTCCAAAATGGTAAAATATAAGCATGTCTTATAAATAAAATATTTAAAATTTACTTCTAATCGTATTATTGTTCGCGTAATTACATTTAATAGTAGATAAAGAATCACATAAACACTATTTCATGTAGTTAGGTAGTTTCTTTCTTTTTATCCCAAGAAATTATCGTTATACAGGGTTTTTCGTAATTACACGGAACTATTTTAGATATGTGTTTACTAACAAAAAAGTTCATATTAACATATATCTCAAACTCATTTATTAAACAGATATCAAATATTAAAGATTTATTATTTATTATTATTACAACATTTAGAGCAACTGTTTAAAGGGGCGGGCCTCCGTTTTATTTAATGCAATATTCAGCACGACGAATCCATGCTTCTCTGGTTCTTCGTATGGCATCAGGATGGTGCTTGACAGTTACTGGGACTTCCACGATCGGATTTCTTAGCTCTTCTTGCGTGCCAACTGCCGCAGGATAAACCATAGACTTCATCCAGCGCCACTCAAAATAATCTAATGACGTTAAATCCGGCGATCGTGGTGGTCATTTAACAGGTCCGTTTTGACCAACCCATCGGTCTCCATAAGTTGCAAATTCATAAATTTAAGATCTCGTGTGCATTGTAGAATTAACCGCTGGGACAAATTTCTGCGCTTGTTATAAATTTGTGGTAACAAATCTTGCCTATTCGATCATGAAATGGATACTATTGTTCGCGTAACATCGAAATGACGTGGCAATCTTCTGGTACTAGTAGTAGGAGATAACTGAACAGCTTCGAGTATTTCTTCTTCTACGTTGGCAGTTAGTCGAAATCTTTGTCGACCGTCGTTTACTTGATAGGTTTTAGCGTGCCATTATCCCTAAGGCGTCTTTCAATGGCCTCAAACCTTACACGATTTGGTATTCTTCGTTAGAAAATTTTTCACGATATCTTCGAACAGCAGCAGCACCGTTTCTATGTACCTCGGCATAAGTTAAAAGCATGTCTGTTTGTTCTGCAAAAGTGAATAAATTTATTGTGTATCCCATAATAATCATAAATTTAACTATTTCACAGTATTCACTCACACTAAAACACACAGAACTAGACAAGCAGATGAGAAACTACTGTCATTGCTTATCGTTCATTAGTTTATCATTTGATTAAAACCTGTTATTTAGTATTAAACACGTTAAAATTTGTACAGTCGTCTTAATGTAGTAAATAAATAATAAATCTTTAACATTTGATATCTGTTTAATAAATAAGTTTGAGATATATGTTAATATGAACTTTTTTGTTTATTTTTTTAGTGAACACATGCCTAAAATAGTGCCGTGCAATTACGAAACACCCCGTATATTAAAAAGAAAAACTTTCGGGCTGAAGCTATTTTTTAGCTTCAGTAGCCATATTTTAGGGATGCTGGTTTAAAATCACCTTAT